GGGGTGCTGTGCCCCCTGCTCTGGGTGACCCTGCTTGGGCAGGGGGTTGGGCTGGGTGACCCACAGAGGGCCCTGCCAACCCCTGCCATGATGGGATTCTGGGATCTCCGACCACAGCCAGAACCCAGGGGCTGCACCCGCAGAGTGGTGCAGAAGAGCTGGGGTCTGGAAGCGAAAGACAGCGGGCAGAAGAGCAGCAGCTGTCGAGGACAGCAGCGACCAGATTTGCTCCAGAAATGGTCACGAATTGCTGAGCTAAGGTACATATTCTACGAACATGAATCCCGTTGATTTGAACGTAGCCGTAGCTGCCAGTACTCCGCAACCTCAGTCAACTCCTCCAGCAGCAGACGATCCTGATTTTCAAAACCAGGCACCTTTGCAGAGCAGAATGCGAGAGACGGAGAGCCACCAGGCCCCGGCTCTCCGAGGGACAGACGGAGCATGGCTGGAGCTGGTTTTAAGACAGAAACGTTATTTCTTTCAAAAATCTCAGCACATCTGTCTCTCAGCCAAGAACACGCTGCCTGCCGGGTCGTTTAGCCGTATTACTGAGGTGTAGAAGAGCACTGCGGCCCGGAGACATCAAACCACCGACGGCGCGTGTTCTGCGCATCGCTTTGCTCTCCTCTCGCCACGCTTCCCGCCTCTCCAGGGCTTAACTCGGTACCGCAAACACCAAACGCTTCAGGAGACAGAAAGATAACACCTTATTCTATCACTGTTTAAATTCCACCTTACGGATTGCCTCCAAAAAAAGAAGAGAATAATTTGATGGAAAAAAATTAGTTTGGCCATAAAATGAGTAACGGGATTCTGCGTAACTCTTCCTTTACACAGTCTACACCAGACAGTACTGATGACACTTTAAACTCCTGATTTGATCAGCTTTTCAGTGTCAGTTTTTATTTGTATATTAATATCACAACCGAAATGAAAATTCAAGAAGCGGAAAACAGCTACACGTGTTTGATGTTGTATGTGAAAGCCTTAGATATTTAGCAACTTCTCTGACGCTTTGATCTGTGAAGAAATCTTACTAAAATTATGATCAAAGGAGTTTATACTATTCCAAGTACTTAAGGACGAGGCATCTTGGGGCGATGATCAGTATTCTGTTTAATCCTTCGCCCTCGGAATCCATTATTGCTAAGCACCTCAATCTGATGGGAGTTACGTTTACTTAAGGACGATATTCTCCTAAAAGCGAATTAGAAGTAACAGAAAGCAACACTCCCGACTTACAGAAAGAGCGAGGGATTGGATTTTATACTTCTGGTTAAAAAGTGTTCTTTGAAGATGTTTTTTAAACGTACACAACCTAAGAAAATTGGTATGCAGCTCATTATGGGATCATTCAGATTTTTATTTTTCTGCCTCAGACAAAGAAACAGCATTTCCAATACACAGCTACTTTTAATTTAATCTATTTCCTACTGTCAGTGTTTATAGAAGACTATTACACACATGGATATATCTAATATTTATAAAGTAAATTAACACTCTATAACACGTAAAGGCAGATAAATAATGAATTATCCTTTTCATCAATCTGACCGCATAACGTCTACTCCACTGCAATATGAAGTGCCGCCTCAGCCCGGCGTTGTAATCCCCCAGGGCACGTTAAACCACGCAGGGTGACACAAAGCGTCCCTGACCCGCAGCCGACAGAACAGCAGCCCAACCTTAGAGCCGAGCGAGACACGACAAAACCACTAATTACTGGTTCCGTTGCGGATTTACCACTGGTGGCTGGCGAGGGGTAAAGGCGGGTTGTGCTTTTGCAGGAGCAAGGCAGAGACCACAGCGTGATGCCTGGTCCCAGCCGCTGCCTGGGCACCCTCGCACGCCTCGCTGCCGCGGCTCTCCCTCCCGCTGTACCCGTGCAGACTGTCGCCCTGCCGCCAGGCCCCCCACGCAGAGGTGGACTCTCACCTCACAGTGGTTCTCTAACCATTTCTAGCTCCCTGCTCCATCACTCCTCCATCGTGAAAGGTGACGAGCAGACAGAATCACAGAATCACAGGGGTTGGAAGTGACCTCTGTGGGTCACCCAGTCCAACCCTCCTACAGGGTCACCTACACCTCCTGACCCCCACCCTGCAGATATTTAGAGGCATTTCTAAGGTCCCCTCTCAGCCTTCTCTTCTCCAGGCTGAACAAGCTCAGCTCCCTCAGCCTCTCCTCGTAGGGGAGATGCTCCAGTCCCCTCACCATCCTCGTAGCCCTCTGCTGGTCTCTCTCCAGTAGCTCCTCATCTTTCTTGAGCTGGGGAGCCCAGAACTGGACACAGTACTCCAGACAGACGTGCAGACCCACCCGACTCCGCCCGCGCCGTGCTAAGCTTTCTTCCAAGCTGAGAAGAAAACACGCCTACTCCAAACGAAAACCAACCTGTGACGCCAGTTCGCTGCAGCTCGTTTGGACCGGCGCCGCTTTCAGAGCTGACCTTCCAAAGGTGCACGGTTAATTCACCCTGCAGCACCTTCTGTCCTGCCTCCAGCATCGCGTGCAGTTAGACCCGTTCTGTCTTCTGATCTGCTCGTGGCGAGACCACTGAAAAGCAGCCAGGAAGGAGAGCAACTTCCAGGGATGTAACTGCCTCACTGGAGTCCGTAAGCCAGCTGGCACCACAGAATCTGCAGTCGCCTTTGGTACCGGACCCGCTACACGGCTACTTCAGGCCTACCATCCTGGGAAACCTAACACAGGCAGCAGCACCAGCAAGGAACGTTAGCTTCAGCTCTGCTATCAGACCCCGCGATAAAATGCTTCTCTCTCGAGAAGTTACTTACTCGATTAAAGTGCTGAAGTTTCTCAATTAAATTGCTGATGAGCGGGTCCAGTCCCCTGACTTTCAGTTCTGGATTATTGATTTGTGCCTTCAGTCCGTTGGCAACAACTCTGCTGGTGTAACTGAAAGAGAGAAACCAAAAAGAAAACATCAGTAGCTGGCACCATATTCATCGGAATCAAAAACCAATTAAAGGCGACTTAGAAAAAGCAAATGTTTTGTAAATGGGAATAGAAATTTGTAATAAATATTTATGTTTTGGAATACACCACAGCAAAACAAAAGTAGGGTTTCTTGCAGTATCATTCATCACTTCAAACTATTCAAGTCATGAACTGACAAAAATTTCATAAACCACATAGAGGTTTCCTTTCATTCATATTTCAATATTTGAACTTCTAATACTGACATTCGCAAGTTCTTCCACGCAGCAAAGCTGATAGCTTCCAAAAAAAGTCATTCTCCCATAATTACAGAAACGCAGGGAATTTAAGACAAGAACGAAATATTGAGACTGAAGTGAAATCCAACGAAACGGCAGTCTGATTCTGAAAAGATTCTGAATCCAAGCACGAGACAGGACTTCTCCTGGACCAGCTGTGGCTAACCAAGCCGCCTGGAGCCCGCGCAACGCAGTGCTCCTCACCGTGCCTTCTCCGCATCATGAACTCACGAGCCAGGGCCGCATACTGGAACTCCTTCTAGCCAAGCCTTGCTTTACTGGATGAACAGCTGCTGTTCTCACACCGCAAGGACCCTTCTCTAATCAGCAACCTGCTCTAAACCGTTCCTCCCAGTCTTTTCTGGAATACACCATGGAGCATTCTCAAAACCTGACTGGTTTGGGGCTCCACCCAGGTGCTCTGATGGGGAAAGTTCCAGGATTTGGTCTCTACTTCCAAGTGTGTCTTTCCCACAGTTGAGCAGCTGATGTCAGCAGCACATGTGTATGCTGAAGCCAGTGCTTCCCAGAAGTATCTGAACTACTGCACACGGTCTCCAGAGCTGATCTGTTTGTGCATGATTTAAGTTCAACCCATCCACAGTCACCGCAAATCCCAGCGAGACACAGAGCGACCTTTCTTGGTGAGCCATGCTTTTGAGGGTTGTATGCAACCACCCTCATTAGTCCGACACTGCTTCGTCACAAAGTGGATCACGGATGTTTGCATGACAAGTGATGAACTGGACAAGAGACTGTTCCCAAACCAAACCCCTGCTAGACTCGCAGACGTGCCTGGGAGGTTCTCATCATGATGACATGTTGACATCTCTATAAGTCAGGAAGTAATTGGCTGTGCTCCTTTGGACTGAAGTCCATCAAGAGAAGTATCCTGCCACTTGTTTCACCGTGATCCCACCTACATACATCGATATCCCAGATGTTCTCCTAGCAGTGAATTCTCCACCGCAAACCAATTTGTGCTGAAGCTGAGGACAGCACTTCAAAGTACAAAAAATGCCCAAACGCTATTTAGAAAAAGGAGGCAGGGGGAAACCTCGCTCTCAAAATATATTTGTCCTATCTTTATTTCATTTAGGATGAACAACAAATTTTATGCAAACTGCCGGCAAAGCATACTAGGAAGAAACTCTTCCCCGCAAGGGTGGCGAAACAGTGGCTGAGGTTGCCCAGAGCAGCTGTGGCTGTCCCCTCCCTGGCAGGGTTCAAGGCCAGGTTGGATGGAGCTCTGAGCACCCTGGGCTGGTGGAAGATGTCCCTGCTGATGGCAGGGGGGTTGGAACCAGATGAGCTTTAAGGTCCCTTCCAACCCAAACCATGCTATGATTCTATATCACACTGCTGTAAAATGCATGGCTTCAAAAGAGAAAGAACTGAGAATGGTCCACCTTTTCAATAAAAACACAAGTTTTACTTCTCAGAAAGAAAAGAAAAACAAACATTTCAGAAGAAAGAATTGAGAAAACCACATTTTTCACTAACAGCCAGGTAGTATTTAGAAGACAAACATTTAGGAAAATCTTTTTCAGGGAATTGGTATTTTTTTGTTCACTGAGCCTTTTAAAGGTAGCATCTTGTTTTTCTTGATGTGTAACTCACACACGTACAAACCGACCTGGAAGCACAAACTTTCCTGATGCAACGGCGCGTGCGAAACGACGGTCAGGTTCTGATCCTACAGGCCGGCTCGGACAGCTGGATGGACGTTCCCAGGAAGAACCCAGCTAATGCATTATTTGGAAGTCAAGGCTGGTGTGGATCACATCAATCCACATCGACTCGTCTGGACAACATGGCAACACCGCTGCACCCTACCCGCCTTTAGCTTCGCCTTCATTCCCTAACCATACCATGTGCTGAATGCTCCTCACAGCTCACCACGTCCACACACGACAGCCCACTGCAGACGTATGGGGACACGACACAGCTTTTTGAGATCATCTAGTTGCAATAAAGGAGAAATTTAATTTAGTAGGGTCAGCTCGAGGCCTCCACCAGCCCGTTCAGCGATTCTCTGTGGGTACTGCTCTGTCTGAGCAGAAACTCATCAACAGCAGCAAAAGCCAAGGATTTTCCTTTGCGTTGCTCTTGACTGCTCTCCTTTCCACCCCTGGTTAGAGCTACCAGAGCTGCTCTAGAGGCTTCTGTCATTATGATCCAGGGCAAAGAATGCGAAATTGCTTCCCCTCTGGGTTGGGGTTTTTTTGGCAAATGACATTGGTTTTTTCCCCCCTGTGAATCACAAGCCTCCATGAAACGCCTCTAAGTGGCATTACAAACCTACAGCACTGCCCGGAGGTTGCACAAACGTGGCCTATTCAGGGACAGCAGCATTAACGCCAGAGCCCTCCGAGGGACCCAAAACGTGGAAAGTCAATCCCAGTCAACTCTGATATCTTCCTGTGGCTAAACACACACCCTCTCCTACACGCATCGTTATCAAGGGGACCATTTAGTACAACTGAGTTCCCAGTCCACCGAGACAAAGCAGATACTCCTATCCTTAAAGTTCCATCCATGTTGAAGGACTCGCTCTTTAAAGCTCCAGAGGGACACATAAATCACAGAATCACAGAATAGTAGGGGTTGGAAGGGACCTCTGTGGGTCATCTAGTCCAACCCCCCTGCCCAAGCAGGGTCACCTACAGCAGGCTGCACAGGACCTTGTCCAGGCGGGTCTTGAATATCTCCAGAGAAGGAGACTTCACAACCTCCCTGGGCAGCCTGGGCCAGGGCTCCGTCACCCTCAGAGGGAAGAAGTTCTTCCTCATGTTCAGACGGAACTTCCTGTGCCTCAGTTTGTGCCCATTGCCCCTTGTCCTGTCACTGGGCACCACTGAAAAGAGCTTGGCCCCATCCTCCTGACACCCACCCTGCAGATATTTGTAGGCATTTCTAAGGTCCGCTCGCAGCCTTCTCTTCTTCAGGCTGAACAAGCCCAGCTCCCTCAACCTCTCCTCGTAGGGGAGATGCTCCAGTCCCCTCACCATCCTCGTAGCCCTCCGCTGGACTCTCTCCAGTAGCTCTTCATCTTTCTTGAACTGGGGAGCCCAGAACTGGACACAGTACTGCAGATGAGGCCTCACCAGGGCAGTGTAGATAACACACAGATAATTCTTTTGCCCAGATTCCTTGTAATTAGATTCATAACGTGGATTATCTAAATTTCAGATGTCAGAGAAAGTATGAGAGCTTGTGCGAGGCCCCAGCACGTAAGAGTTGGCCCAGGAACGTGACCTGGATGAGTGGCGATTCCCAGAAAACCAACCACAGACCCTTGGCAGTGGTGAAATGGATGCGGCCGGCCAAACGAACGGGGCAAAACGCTGCTGCGAAGCGAGGCAGCAGGCTGACCTGCGGAGCGCAACAAAACCAGCTCTGGGGCTTCCCCACAACGAGCCGGGAGCTGTGCTCGTCCTGCGTGCCCCCACTGAGAGAGCGCTTCTGTAGCAAAGCCAAGCCCAGAGGGACTCAGACGAACTGAAAAACGGTCCGTTCAGCGAAGGCGGTGGGCTACACCTCTTGAGGAGAAGGAGACAGAAGAACTGTAGAAGAACTGCACAGCCAGGGAGAAGGGAGGAATTCCTCCAGCCCATCGCAGCCAAGAACCAAAGGCTGTAGTAGAAAAAGACGTTATGTCCACCTGACTCCAACTGCCACCATGCAAACTGTGTATCCTTCTACGAGCTCTGTATCATGCTAAAATACTTTGAAATAAACCCTATACGTTTCCTGAAAGATAATCTGATTATTCCACTACTTTCCACTATCTAAAACATTTTTTGTTGTTGACATCAGATCCTGAATTACTGGAAATGTACATTAAGTAAGATCAGAAATTGGCTTGCTTTATTTAATAACCTGCAATTTAACTGAAATATTGTAGTACAGAATTGTTAACTCTGGTTACAGCTCTTGTACTTTATTCATACTAAACCCAGAAATGTCAGCAGGCATGGCCAGGAAAGTTGTATTAAAATATTGTCACTGGAGCAATCCTGAAAGTAACCGTCACATTGGAGCCCACGGAAGAGCACGTGCAGACACAGTTTTCAGCCAGACCTCAAGCTCCAGGCCAACGTTATTCCACTGATTGTTTGAGCAAAGCTACAATGCTTCAAAAACCAAACTGTAAAAATCAACCCCCCGAACCCTAGTTTTACAGTATTTCAGACGAACAGTATTCATTATTTCAGACCTTAGCTAACACAGCTCATCGCAAGTCAAGCGGGTCCAGAGGAGGCCACGAAGATGATCCGAGGGCTGGAGCACCTCTCCTACGAGGACAGGCTGAGGGCGTTGGGGTGTTCAGCCTGGAGAAGAGAAGGCTCCGGGGTGACCTTAGAGCAGCTGCCAGTGCCTGGGGGGGCTGACCGGA